AACAATACTAATAATTGATCGCACAAAAGAAATATAACTCTGCATTTAACCCATCCCCTTGGGGAGCAGTGGGCTGCCATCGTGGGGCACCTGGGGAGCAATCAACTGTTAAGGGTCTTGCTCCGAGACCCAGAGTTGCAATCTTTGGGAGTGGGTTTCACACTCAAAGCCTGAGGTTTGCAAGCTTTATGCCCTAACCACTAGGCCACCACTCCCCTAAACAATAATAATTATAACAATAACAATGACATGTTCCCACCCTCATACCCACACATTCTAATGACATATAAAAATGGAGACCCTGCACACTGTTACAGTTACTCTCCACTCAACCACAATAGACTCCCAATACCAATACCCTAGAAGGACAACTACCCCCTGGACCTGTATTCCTTGGTTGTGAAGCATAGATTTCCTCTGCAACCAGCTGAGACCATGGTCATATATTGCCCAAACCCGGTCCAGACCTGGATTCCAGCTCCAACCCCATTAATCTTTTCCCACCACTAACTAGGATGCATGTTCCTGAATACAAATGCAATGAACCCATAGTTCTTCTCAAAGTACTAGCTGAAGCAAAATATTATCAACTGACAGAAAATGCTCAAACCCTGAGAAAAAATGGTTTTACTCTAAAGGCTGCTCTTGCAGCACAAACCACTGTGAATGTTTAAACAAATTGTTTTCCAACTATTAAACAATGACCCATAACAGCTGACCAGTGGTTTGTTGCAAAATCCATTTCTCTAAACCCTGTGTCCATCTGCCATAGGGGTTGGCTCCAGCTGAGGCTCAGAGGGGGACACAGCAACAGCAGCTCTGGGGGGGAACCAGAGAAGCAATGATGGGAAGTGATGTGAACTATGCTGAGGTACACACACCAAGTGGAATACACTGATTGAACAAAGCTGCTTTGGAAGAGTAGAGCTAATGCAGAAAGTATAATAAAGCAGGTTGACTCTAAATGAAATAGAGTGGAACCATCCCAGAGCCAGTTGGCTGTCTCTGCTGAGTGAATAATTGACATGAATGAATGGGCAGTCAAACCATTAGAGACAGACAAAGGCAAAGGCTGAAGTACTCAACTGGAGCTATAGTTTTTTTTTTAATATATATGTATATATATTTCACACACTATAGGATCTGATAGTGTTGCTAATTCTCTAATATAAACTCTGAAAAACAAAAGGCGTAATCCCTGAGGATTTCTCTGCTCCGTATGCAAATGTCGAAACTGAGGGAAAAGTTAGCAACTTTCCCACACAAGTAGTCCGATTATAAATTGTTTCCATCATTGTACTCAGATGTGCCCTCACGACCTAGGGCCTTATCACAAAGAGAGGTGGGCCCTGATTATTTTTATATGTCACCAAGACCTCAGTGTTGATCGATGCACCGCAATCTCTTCTATCTGCTTGGCATCTTCTCTGACTGTCCATGTGGTCAGAGTCCTTCGTCCAACAAAAACAATGCTCTTATCTGGGATTGATATGATTTGAAAAATGTGGATCATTTCACCAAAAGATATTAACTGATGTCATCTGTTTTTTCTATGAATAAACTGGTTAGAATATAACAAGGACAAGCTTGATTCTTTGGGTTTCTCAGATGGGAAAAGTTTTAATTTATTAACAAATCAGCAGTTTGCTGCCCATCTTTTTTGTAATGCATTTAAATCATGCAGAATCAATTAATAAAATTGGCTTTAATTAACTTTGTTTTTTCCTTAAGTGTTTACTTCCACATAAATTCTAATTCAAATTGTGCTTCATATTGCAGCAAATGCAGAAAGCTGCTGTTGCCCCCTAGTGATGAAAGGTGAATCAGCAGGCTGCTTTTCACACTTGGTAGGTCAGATGTTATTAAAGCATGCAAGTTTAAAACAAACTGCAAGATCAGTGGGGTTATGAGAACTTCAATGTGGTGAATAGAGCCATGTTTTAAGTAACATGATAGATATTATTATAATAGGCTTTCAACTGTCTGATTTAGTTACATTTAATGTCATATTTAACACAGCTTTTGTGATTAATCTTTTTTTATTTGCCATTTGAAGTTAATGTACAATGCAAATTTCTTTCCACATTTTGTCTTAGAATTTTGTGTAATTGATTAACAAAATGTAGAGCACAATTAGAAAGTGTAAGAAAACCTATACACGATTTTTTGACTAATAACAGTCCAAAATCTGCAGCATATTCGCTTCTCAGACTAATTTATTTCAATCCATTTATGGTGGCAAGTCTCTATGCTAGATCTGACCATCGAGAGAATTTTGCCTATTCTCTGAATATAGTTCAAGCATGACTTAATGAAATTGGGAGCGTCTTGAATTTATGTTCTGCCAATTAGATTTAAGCTTGGACTTTAACCGCCATTCTAATTGATTAAAATAGTTTGATCCAAGTGTTTTTCTGACTTATGCAGATTTTTCTCCAATTTTGTTTTTATTTTGCTCTTTCTTCTTTCCCATCAACTCTGACAAATTGATTAAAGACATCCCATAGCATGTTATTTCTTCCTCTATGTTTTACAGTGGGGATCATTTGTTCTGTATTCTGTGCTGTGTAAATTTCTTCCAAACATTGCATTTTGCACATTGACAAAAGAGTTATATATATTATCCTCCTTAGATCACTGCAGCTTCTAAACAATCTCTTATCTTCAAAGGAGAATCGCCACGTATTGGTAGATTTGTAGTTGTACCCCACTCATTTATTCTTTGGATGATTGAATGAAAATAGCTCTTTAGGACATTTAGAGCTTCTGATCTGTTTCAACCCAACCCTTCCTTAAACTTTTTCCTAAACATGTCTGAGAAGTAAGGCCTTTATGACTTATACTGAGATAAATGAAAAACTCACTAGTGCTTTTATTTTTATAAGTTGGCTGAAGGGGGGTTAAATTCACATACACAGCATTTCCCCTTTGAGATTTGTGCATATTCAAAGCAATTCACTTTTTTTCACCTGGCATAGTTGTTTTCTACTTTGTCTTATTTTTGACAAATCAAATTCCAATAAATGTTGTTGTACTCAACCTATTCTGCTTAACTGGGACCTGGTCACAGGGGCAACAGTCTTAGCAGATGCCCAAACCTTCCTCTCCGTAGAAGCCTCCTCTAGGCAGCCTAAGGCAAAGCAGGTCCTGGGCCTCCTTCCAGTGGAACATGTCTGGAACATTTACTGAGGGAGGAGCGGAGGGGAAATAGTTGCCTGAGCCACTTCAGCCAACTCCTACCATTGTAAAGGAGCAGGGGCTCCACTCTGACAGCCTTTTGGGTGGGTAGGCTCCTCACGCTATCTTAAGGGGAGCAGCGGCCCAGTGGTTAGGGCATAGATCTTGGAATCCTGAGGTTCTGAGTTTGAGCCCCACTCCCACAGAGTGCCGCTCCGACTCCCTGAGCAAGACCTTTAACCCTCGATTGCTCCCCGGGCGCCTCACAATGGTTGCTCCTGCTCCAACAGGATGGGTAAAATTGAGGTAAATTTCTCCAACATGAGATCAATAAAGTTAAATTATTATTAATACAGGAGAGCCTTGAGGAAGCTCCTTTTAACCACATGCATCAGGAATCTTGTTCTGTCATTACCCAGATTACATGGTCATAGGTGAGGGGAAAAAAACAGACTGGATGGTATTTTAATTCAACTTTTTTTTTTTTTTTCTCACCACATGAGAATGGTGCAGCATCTGCGTATTAATACATCTGGCAGAGTGGCCAGTGTGTGAATCTCCCCTCCATTTCCTCCCTTAAGGGCAGGAACTCCTCCCTAAATTGGACAGAGCAGGCCATTATTTTTGATCTGGAGCCAAAACCTTGGAAGAACTGATCCCTGCTTACTTTGCACTCAGCTGTGGACTCTCAGTACATGCTGTTAGTCTTGGCAATGGGGAGCCAGCAAAACCACATAATCCACAAAAAGCAGAAGGATGTTGTGTGAAAAAGTTCAAGGTGTTATATTCATAAAGCATTTGAAATCAGTTTTGAATTACCCAAAATATGCATTTGATACATTTCTTTATTGATAGCAAATCATACAATAACCATGATCCTCTGCTTTTGAGAAAAACACTAAGCTTGTTAAAATGCTCTATTTCAGTTTAGTAAATATTGTGAAGATATCAGTAAAAAAAAAAAAAACAAGAGTTTGCAGCAGTTAAACTTTGGTCGTTTGTGATATTATGTATACTGGGATAAGCACTCTTTCAGTTTCTAGGCAATCATTTATGACAACAAGATTAAGAACTCACATAAACAGTGAAGATACAGTTGATTTGGAAAAGCTGCTATGTAGACTAAACATAAAAAATAAATAATCTATATAAGCAAACAGAGGGTGGAAAGCAGCAGTATGTGGTTGCTGTCAAACTGTGAAAACGGCCCCTATATCAGTCATTTATAAGGATACATTTCTAAAACTGATAGGTCATATAAACACAAAAGCTTTTAGGAGAGAATATTGTTACAGTAGAGTTTATTATCCTACAGGAGTGATACTAGAACACTTTTATTGATATCAGGTCAGAAATTTGAACGGAAATGTTTGGACATCCTTTTACCAAATTGCAGCCTTTGTCTGCGTACACAATCCTGCTCAGATTCACACAGATGACAACATATCTTTCAAACAATGTGGACAGAGCTGTTTTACATCTCTGCAGTGAGCTGGCCTTTACTCTGGATATTCCTCATGATGGACTGGACCACCTCTAATGTGGTGCCCTGACCCCCCAGATCCGCTGTGTGCAACTGTAGCAAAAAGAAAATTATGTTAAAAATACATGGTACAATACAAAACTTACTTACAGTCATGATTTAAATCATTTTAGGCTTGTAAATGATATAACGAACTGTTCTTTTTCCAGAAAGGGAGAAAAGTTGAGTGATTTTACAGCATAAAACTTCAGTTTCTTATAATAAATCCAATACAAGCCGAACCCAAGCTAAAAACCTTTTGCTTTTGTCACTTAATTATTTCACAGAAGTATGCAGATCTGCCAAGTTTATCTTCTATAGAAAATAGTGAACAGGGTGCTGCTTTTACAAAGGAAACTTTACTGCAGAAAAAGGACTGCTTGACTCCTACATGCATCCTCATATGCAGCCTCTGTCTGAGCAGTGCAATGGTCTACTGCTATACTTTCTCTTTTTTTAAGTGCTTGGGACAGCTGCAGAGATAATACTATTTCAAATTCATTTTTTAATCTAAAATAGTATTATTGTAATTTACTTTACTTAATAAAAAAAAAATAGCAAGTATTTTTATTCTGTGTTTCTTTTTTTTTCTTAGCAAAACATATCACATGAACAGAGAATTAGTTCAGCAGAGTAGGTGTTTCCCTTTTGATAAAAAAATCAAAGATGTTACTCCACTCCACAGCTGCTGTGTAAAAAAAAACAAAAAAAAAAAACATTTCAAGAAAAATACTCCTGGCAAGAAAAGGCAATTCTGTTCTGTCATGTATTTTGTATATAAAACATAAAGAAATAACTGTTTTTGTACTGAACCCTATGCGGATAAAATCAGTAAAAAATACAATAAAGCCACGAATATTGGCCACATGTGTATTAAAAAAAAAAAAAAACTCCCTAAAGGATAAAAGGGCATTCTGTACAATATTTCAAGTATGGTAAAATAATTAAAAGCTTCAATTTTATCTAACATAGTTTCTGATGAGTCTGGCGTTTATAAAAATTTGACCAAAGGACCTGTCCACAGAGATTATTTTACCTGTAACTAAAAAAATTTTTTTTTAAACATTTGTCATAGCGTCCATGAGGATCCAGTGTTTTCAGGGACAAAAACAAGGCCTTTTTTCAAAATTATGATAGAAGCCACACTCCCAGAATAGAAAAAAAAATATATTTTTTTCTTTTTTTTTTTTTATGTTTTCTTGTGTACACGCATGAAGAGTCTTACCTGAACCGATGTTGCCTAAGCTCACACTATCTCTGTAAACTGTATGTAGCTCTTAGCCACCATGATGCATGCACACATTTATGGTGCCACTGATGGATGTGTTTTCAGGTCCTGCTGTGTGGATTCTTGTTTATTGTTCTAGTTTATTGAAAATACTCATTTTTTGGTCCTGAATGACAAATTTATATTTATACTTTTAATTACACATCAGTTCAGGGAAGGTCTTTGGTAATCTCCACCCAGCTGGTTCTAAACTAAAATCTCCTTTTGATACAAAAAAAAAGCATAACACTGGTTGTATAAACTAGTTTCTCCTAGAAAGAATAAGCCGATAAGAGTACAATTAAAGTGTCTGTGTGATTGAATTGTACTGCTCTCGAGGAAGCTGCCCAGACCAGCCTAAAGGGTCTTAAACCGGTTTTACATAACATTGGGCCGCTAACTTCACATCAGCATAGAGTGAGAGATGAGTTGAAAGAATGATCAGCCCTTGTGGACTCACCCTGGTTTCATTCATGGTGGTGAGGACTGCATTCCTTATCAAGTTAGCGTAGTTATAAAGCCTGGGGAAAAGAGAAGAAAGGGTTATTAGCCTTATGTATTAAAGTCCTTAAATTCAAACAGGAGGAACACATTAAAACCAAAGGTTTACTTGAGGTGGTCCAACATCATGCAGCTAGCTAGCAGCATAGCGGTGGGGTTAGCAATGTTCTTCCCAGCAATACTTTTCCCCGTGTTCCTCGTAGCCTAATATCCAGAAAAGAATAAAAGACTGAATTAAAAAAAAAAAAAAATCTGTTAATGATAAGTGCAATGCTACTTAACAGTCTCTTACAGTTTCAAACACTGCGTAGTCCCGACCATAATTGGCGCCAGGCACAAGTCCAGGCCCCCCCACCAGGCCAGCACAAACATTACTGACCACGTTCCCGTACAGATTAGGCATCACCATCACATCAAACTGATGGGGTTTGGACACAAGCTAAAAACACAGAGAAAAAGAGCAGAAAAAAGAAAATCACTTTTTGTTTTCTTTAACTCCGGTAAATAATCTAGAGTGATTCAAGTTTTCACCTGCATGGTGGTGTTGTCCACAATCATGCTATCAAAAGTGATATCTGGGTATCCGGAGGCAACTTCCCTACAGCACTCAAGAAACAAGCCATCCCCAAGCTTCCTGTGGTGGACAAACACGCACCACTCAATACTCCCCACTCCAAAAAGGAAATAAATAATTAAAAAGGTTGGGCCTCTTGGAGTAAAAGTCACTTACATGATGTTGGCTTTATGCACTGCAGTCACCCTGCGCCGACCTTTCTCCCGAGCCAGCTGAAATGCATACTCTGCAACCCTGAGGGAATTGTACCTGGTGATGATCTTCAGGCTCTCTACTACTCCTGATGCGCTCTAAAACAATAAATGAAATCATAAACATCTAAAACAGGTCTATAAATGAGTTAAAATAAAAAAAAAAATCTACGAAAATCCCTCAAATTCATTGAAAACTCCTAAGTCACAGAGATCGATACATAAACTAAGGTCAGGTAATGACTTTTTCAATACAGCTATGAAGAAATGTCCTAATAGAATATTTTTTCAAAGCACTGTATATTCACACCTGAATCTAGAGCTACGTTAAAAACCCAGACTAAAGAAAACAGAGCAGAAGGGAAAAAAATGAATAATTTCCTTTAACTCGCCTCAGATACAACAGCATAAACCTAACAAAACTGCTCTGTCTCATGGCAACACATCACACACTGATATAAGTTAATTTCATTACCTGTAAGCTAATACTTTAGTCCATCTCCTCGTCACATTTTAATTACCTTTGACTAACAAACCTAATTTACTGCTGACTGAGACCAGCGGCACCAATTCAGATAGTTTAATGAAGTCAGCATTGGTTCTCTCCATCAGCAGGTCAATAGGTTGAGCTTATCTTATGCTGCAGGCTGTTTCTTCATTTTAAGGCTCATAAATGGTACTATTTATGTAAAAACATAAAGGCATGTGATGCAGAGCACAGATTTATCTGCCTCCCGGTCTGACCTCGTGCTCCAGATTGCTGTATTCTCCTTCTGTGTTCTCCCTGATGATCAGGATGTCAATGTTCTTGTGCCGAGTTTGGACTCCAGGGAGGGACTGGCAGTGCATCACGTTGGCGTACAGATCCAAGCTTGTCCTGTGGCATAACAGAAATTATCAAACACACAGGGCATCAAGTAACCTTTTTAAGGTGAACCATCAGACAAAACAAGGTATTTATTAAGAGAGGTGAATTTTTTTTTTCCAACCTACCGTAGCAGATTATTTCTGGATTTCACAGATGGCGGCATTGTATGTTTGGTTTCTATGTTACCTACAAGGAGAGTTAGGTCATACTAAAGTTAGACTGTAGTATCAGAGCCTTAGGATAAATGATAAGCTACCCCGCATAAACTTTTTATGGTCGGACTGTGGCTAAAAGAGGCAGTTTAGCTTACCTTTAAGAGCGACTCCATTTCGGCGGATCGCAGTAATGGCATTGTTGATATCATCCTCGGTCTCCAGTGCAGAATTGACGTTCACGACCTCAAAGTCTACAGGAACACAGCTATACCTACAGGCATGATAAGTAACCATAAGGATAGAGGAGGAATCATCTTTGTATAGTTGAGTCTATTAACATTTAACCCCAATGAGAGCTAACCTGAAAACCTCTGTGACATGACTTAGAAGCTCTGGACCGATCCCGTCCCCCGGTATGAGGGTCACAGTGTGTCTGCCTCCATACTTGGCAGGAGGGGGCTGCAAACAAACCATAAAACACAATATTAGCTAAACAGAAATGCTGGATATTTTAAATAAGTTGAAAATTAGCAGAACACATGGTTTTAATTATTTTATATTAAAAGTGCAAAGTTTGCCTTAAACTGATATCCCATGTTAGTAAATCTATATTTGTTAATCTTTTACACTTAAAGACAGAGTAAAATATAAATAAAAGTGTTTTTAGTTTGTCCAAACACAGAAATATGTTTTATTAATCACCCATCTGAATATGAAAAATTAAAAACATGACCAAGAATATGAACTTAGGTCTCAAAAGTAATGAAAAAATATCAGTTTGCCCTGAGATGCTTTGGTTGTGAGTCTGCTAGGGCCACTGTAACCACGGCAACCCACTACTCCATTACACTGCCACAGTTTTAAAGGAAAAATATATGCAAAATATTATATTTACACTCAAATTTTTAATCTGGGGTGGGGGGTCAGCTCATTTGACGGTAAACTCAGATCGATCGGTGCTCAAAATGTTGTCACTAAAGTCTCCAAGACAGGAAAAAGTCATTAGATTTGTTGCTTGTTGTTTGTTTTTTTTACATATACATATATATTGCTAAGATGGCAACAATACAGAAGCAGCCACTCTGTTGGTTTTTTATACTGCTTTGCCAGCAGGGGCCTATTCTGAAGGCAGCTGCATGATGACCTGACGCTGAAGTTTAAGACACACCCAAAAAAAATAATCCACAAACACAAGAATAATGAGACCCAAATTTAATTCTGGCATTACAGTGCAATCATAAAAGGTCTTTATTTTCACATGTTTTCTATTCTGTTTTATATACAAGGTCTTTAAAACCTCTTAACACCCACCCAATTTGAAGTAATCCTCGCCTATTTTGCATACCCAAATGGAAAAGCAAATAACTAAGGAACTGTAAGCCCAGATTACATGTGTGATACATCGTTCGGAACCTAACATCGCCTAGTTTCTGAAAATATAAATGAAAATGTCAGTTTAATATAAATTGCATCAGTTCAAACATGAATCAACGTTGTTGTTTTTTTTATTCTTGAAAATAAAAGGTATTTTTTGAACAGCAGTCATAAAGACATGCTTGAGGATAGGCATGTCTCATTGTATTACATTTGTTCTAAATCATGTTAACCACAAATGAAGAACATTTCAGACCTCTAGCTACAACAGTTCCAGAGCTGTGGGGCTTTGAACTTTTGGTGCCACCAGTGTTTCCAAACCTCTCTAAATGTGCCAGATTGTGCCAAATGTTTTTACTCAACTATTTAACCCATAAAATAACACTTAAGCATTTTAATGGCTACAAAACTTTTATGAAGCAAGTATTTTTCCACTTTTTTTTTCCAGAATCGGGGTATATAACAAAATGTAACATTTATAAACCTAAAATAGCATAAAAGTCTATAAAAAAAAAAAAAAATAGTGAAACTGCTGCTTTTCAAGCTAAAATAATCCCCAGTGCAGCATTTTCTGAGCTGTATTTTGTTTTTGTAGCATTAGGCATTGTAATAAAACACAATCAGCGTCCAAACTTCAAAAATATTGGAGCATTGTTAGTATTCAGCTTCGAACTTTGCACACTGATCCAGTCTCAGCTGTTTATTTCACTCTTATGCAAGCCTCTTGCACATTAACATTAACTTTATTTTCTCATTTAATTGCAATTTAACAAAACTATTTTTACACATTTTTAACAATTTTTACAAATTGCAAGGCACTCAAATTTTGTCACAACACATTTACCAGGAGTAAGACAGAGACTTTATCACTCCAGGCTTTTTGGTGGTGGTAATAGGCTTTAGGTGGGTTCGCTACCACATAGAGGGAAGAGGGAGTTGCAGCTAGAGTGCAGATCTATCAATGCGAGTACAATGAGGTACTTTTTCACGCAGCAGTAAAAGTAAAGTCAATCAACAATGTACTTATATTTTTGAGAAAAATCACTCAGCCCTAATTACCTCAACTAAAGACTTTATGTTTTAAGGAGAGTGTGTGTTTGTTTTTATCTGCCTGTGTACAGGACAACCTAAAAGGTTATGGACAGATTTTAATTACATTTTTATTAGAGGTGTCCCACATTCCAAGATAACTATTCCAAGCACAAATATTTACACATAGCAGCAACAAAGGAGGGTGAAAAGGCTTAAACTGTGAAAAGTGGCGCTGAAGATTTAATGTCAGTCATCGAAAGGTTAATATCAATAAAGCAGAATTAAAGCAACTTCTAGGGCTAAAAAAAAATTGGATTATTAAAATAACTGTCAAATAATTGAATAATCGAATAACTGTTAACTGGAGTATAAAGACTCTAAAATATAACTTTAGCTGACAGAGCAACCCATTTAGACGAGTAATTATACCAAAATTGTAAAAAAATATATATATATATTTAAATTAATTAATTAATACTTTCCTTCTTTCAATGTGTGTCATAAAAAAGTAAACAAAAATGTGCTGTATGATATTTTATATGGGTAGCAGTTTGAAATCTAATTAAAAATATTCCCCAATATTTATCTATTTTGTTATTAAAATCACAAAAGTAGACAAACAAACACATTGATGGTGGATGTGATTATAAACTAGTGGCCTAGTTCTTAATTTTGTATTTAATGGGTAAAAAAGTTTAACATTCTGAGTTTTGTTTAACAGGACAAACTGGTAATTTGAATCCTGAGCTGATAAATTGCTTATTGTTAACACAGAAAAGGTTATTACATTAAATTTAATTTTAATTTAATAAAATAATACATTTTTTTTAAACCAAAAAGTCTGCTACTTACAATTAAGTCTCTCTGTTGATGAAGGAAGGTGGGGAGGAAAGAAGGACAATGGTTAGTTTGATTGCAACATGCAAATTACAGCAATATAGCATATTATTTCTGTCTCTCTCGTGATCCAGGAGGATATGATAAATTACAATGTGGTTTATTTCTAATATGTGGTAATCACATTTTTTGCCAGATCGTCAACACACAATAATCACATACTCACAGCATAAAATGATTTATTCCGGTGACTTGCCAAAGTTGTTCCAAATACCTAAAAAAAAAAAGATAAAATACGTAATTTTATGCTAGACCTGCGTAAAAATGACAGGTAGGAACTGACATTTTGGAAATTTGACCTTGTTTTTGGTTGAGACAAACACGCTTAAAATACAGCCTCTGTACAACATTATTTAATGACCCAAGAAAAAAAGTTTATTCAACCTTACCTTTACCGTATTTGCTAGGTTTCGACCCCAGAGAGGACTTACAACTTTAGAGACCGAGAGCACAGCGCTGTGGGCAGCCATCTTGTTCGCAATGCAGAAGTCGCGTGTGAATCAAAGTATCGCGTGATTTCGTTCTTTTTTCTTTTCTCTTTTTTTTTTTTTTTGAGCACACGTTACTCCATTATTTTTTTAATAAACAATATTAAATATGTATTTCATTATTTCCCATACAGTTTGTAAAAGAACGGGTAAAGTAAACAATAAATAAATAAATCTGTTCGCCTAAGCAGTTGTGCGCATGCGCAGAGTGAGTCTTCTCGATAGCCTCACATCCCGGAAGTTTTACCAAATGAAAACATATTTCTTTTCCCCGTCTTGCCGACAGCGTCTTGCGTAAAGTGGGTTAAGTGTCATAAGTTGCATTGTTTTATTTAGATATGTCTGTTAAACGGTCTCAATGAAGAAGCTGCGCAGAAAACAGTGAAAGTCCGGCGAAAAGGGCGATAGTTTACTAATCCGTCCGCCCATACGTCGCAGCAAAGGAGACAAGCTCGGTGAAAGCTCGCCTCGAGAATTGATAAAGTAGGTAAAATCTGCTGTTTAAAATTCTACGTACAAATGTGAGGGAACGGGAATCTATTTAGTTGATTTAACGCGCCCATGTCTAGTTGTCCGGGTTATTTTTGTGTGTTACTTTTGCAAATGTTCATATCTTCCCATAGTTTTAGGGCAGGGCAAGAATCACCATGTCCATCCTCTTATCTATATGCTAAAATAAGGACTTAAAAAAGTAAATTTAACTGAATCTGTGCAGAAATGCTAAACTAAATGTTTTAAAATATTATCTTTATCAATTTGTAAGAAAAAAAATAACCCCACAACTTTTGATTGATTGACTTTATTGATCTCACAGTGGAGAAATGTACTTGTTACATCTGCTTAAATAGTCAAATAAGAAGAATGTGCTAAAGAAAGGAAAAGGTGTATGGGATATATACAGTATTTACAGTGCGTCCACATATTCACATATTATACCAGATTATATGTGAAAACCTCTATATTGTCAAGACCCTGTCTCTCATTTCAAAGTCAAAAAAGCTCATCATTGAGATTTGTCATTGAAATACCATGTTGAGCCAACCAAATGTCCAAGCTGTTTTTTTATTAATGAAATTATTATGTACTTGAAATAATAAACCACATATCCTCAGAAAGTGGTTTAGGCTTTAAAGGTCCAAGTTGATCCCAGAGTGGCTGCTGCTTGACAACTGATGGGGAGCTTCTTTAGGAAAAAGTCCTCCAAATTGAACCGAAGAGCTGAGGTTTTCCAGTGCCCTTCCAGGCAGAGTTCAGGTCTTTATAAATAGCACCCAGTAAGACTATAAAAAGGTCCTTTGTTTTTGGTTAAAGTAAATAAAATGCAAATAAATGTGCCGCCATGCCTAAAGTAAAGACGGCTGTGCACAAGCAAGTCCAGCATGGGATGCACCATAAAGAAGAAAAAAAGGACATTCCATTAAAAGAGTTTTCCTTTGACAGAAACTTTGGGAGGAAATTGGAAACGGGAAGGAAAAAAAATCCTCAAATGTTTTGCAGCTGCAGTGCAAACAGAACAGCCGACATACCTGTATAAAACATCCACAGCCATATTCTATAGTTTTAATGTACACCTTCCAAAGAGGCTTGTTTGTTAAAGTATCTTAAAACTAACAACCTTTTAGCAGGTAGAACATGATTTTAATTAAGGCAACATTTGTTTATGAAAATGTTTTCTCTCCTTATTTCCATTAAAAGTAAGGCTTTAAAATTGTTCTGTGTGTAATGTTTTTCCATTTTAGTTTGGTGTATTGAAATAAGTAGAATCTTCAATAAAATTCTGATTTGTGTCTGTATATAAAAAAAATCCCTTTGTCTTACTTCTAACTTCTGTTTTGTGGTCTTTGCAGGTCTATGAAACGGTGAATCATGAGACTGACAGGTGAGCTGCAATGTTTGGTTTGTTCCAGTGAGTCTAATCTGTGGTGTGTTTTGCCTGAACTTGTGTGTTGTTATTCCGCTGACAGGCCCCCTGCGAGGTGTGGTGGTACTGCTCTTGGTGGGCTTCACCTGGCTGCTCGCCAGCGCCTTATTCGGAGGAGAGGGCAGCTTATCTGTGCGAAACATCTTCACGGGTAAAACAGCTGATCTTTAATTAATTAATTTCTAGGTTTATGAAAAATATGAAACTTTATGTCTGGTTTTATGTTAGTTCTCAATATTTTTCTGAAGTGGTTGAAATTTGTATGATCAGACGGAAAAGTAAGGTGGAAAGCATTGTAATGGGTTTTACTTCCAGTTTCTGAAATTTTATTTGTTAAAAGCCAGTTTATTATCAACTCATTTGGCAGCTATTAGTGAGATCTAGGACACTATGATGTCAAATCAAATCAAGGGTTTCATTGTTAATCAGAAAGCGTTTGTGTTTTTCAGGCTCCAAAGAGGAACCGACCCAGTGTAAGTGGGAAAGAGAGATGGGACCAAGGGACTGTGAGTTTGTGGATTTAATTACCGCTGGCTAATATGTGATCTATTTTAGCTGAATTGCGTCCGCGGAGGTACAAATGTGGACTTTCAGCCCCCTGTCCTCCAAAGCATTTAGCTTTCCGTCTAGTGTCTGGAGCTGCAAACGTCATTGGCCCAAAAATCTGCTTGGAAGATAAAATGTAAGATTAATCACTTTGTATAAACATCTTGTCTCCTTCTTTCATGTCTTTGACTCTGCTGCTGTCTCTCTGTTTTTTAATTCATTTTGGTTTACTTTATGCTGTGTTTTTTGTTTTTGTTTTTTTTCTTCTTCTTCTTATTTGATCTCCTAATAAGGCCTCCAAGTATTTCAGGGGATTTTGATGCAAGTATTGTCTCAATCCAATGGTCCTTTAATATACCATTCTTTGTTGATCCCTTTTGTTTGCTTCGTTAAAGTAAAGTAGAGTAAAAAGATGCCGAAATATAACCAGTAATCCCTCTAAGACATTCTCACATTTTTCTACATCAAAAATGCTGTCTAGTTCATTTTATTTAGATTTTAAGTAAAAGACAAACCTAAGGTTGTGCAAAATTGTAAAAAGGAAGAAAAGTTTGACATGATTTAATTTTGCTTTTTTGATTTTTTTAATCAGAAGCCTCACCCCTCTAGGTGACTTTGTAAAAACAGTGTTTCAAAGCATTTACTGAAGGAGGTATTTTGGATTATAGCAGCTACCAGCTTATTCCATCCTTTTTACAGAATAGCTCAGGCTCAGCCTTATTGAATAGATAACATCTGCATACATAGGTCAATCTCCAAGTCTTGCCACCAATATTCAGTTGGGTTTAGATGTGTATTTCTCTGACTGAGCCGTTCTAACATGAATATGCTCTGATCTAAGGCAGCATTTTTGAAGAGAAAGACCCTGACCTTGTCATTATAGAGTAGATAAAAGTATTGACCCATGTTTTCAGAAATTATACAAATTTCTGTCAATAAGGGAAAGGTGTGTGATCCTTTTGACATGTAAGAGCTAACATTTGTCTACAAAAAAGATACGCTTTTTCTTTTAATAAAATATTTCATGTTTGGAGTTTGATTAAAGATTTCGGTTGGAGCATACAACTAATTTGGCACAACGTTTAAACATGATTGATTTAAAGTATTCCATTGTAGCTTTGTCTATATCGTAGTGTTGCTGTCCTGCTGCCTATTTCTAAGCTTCAAACAAGTTTCCCTTCCTTGATTGCCAAGCATTTAGCGCCATACATCGTTGAATGAACTCTAGTCAAAGTTTCAGTCCCTCTTAAACTTAAATAACCCCCTTGTGATTGTGCACTGTTTGTATTCATCGTTATGAATTGCTCTGTTTATGACTTGACTCTGCTTTAAACTTCTTCAAATCCTTCCCACTGACCTGTCTGCTCTGTTCATTGGGCTTCATGGTACAGTTTACACATCATAGTTCATTAACAAACCTCTGAGGCCTTCATATAACATCTGGATTTATACTCAGATTTAAAGGTCCTATATCGAGCAGTTTTTACTCATCCTTCAACAGTTAACTTTAGGCATGTAGATGATGTTATATTGCATTTGGCACTGAGTAGTATTCATTTGACAATAAATGTTAACAGAAAGATACGTAGTTTGATGTTGCCGTATCGTGTCACTTCTGGAAGTATGCAGATTATTTGAGGCTTCTCACAACTGAAAACCCAAATTTTGCCACTCAAACATGAGCTAATAAAGGAGCAGTTGCTGTCACTGTGCAAATTTGCAAAAGTTGTGCAGATGGTACAACTTTTTAACTTTTTGTTTTCCAGGACAGAGAGGGGCTGCTGCAGAATTCATGAGGGTTACTCAGATGTGCATTTATTAATCAAAAAACCACAATATCATTATATAGTTACAGGCTTGCAAAAAGTTGATTTTGACACTTTAATTAAACAAACGTGAGCTTTTCCCTATTTTGACTTCAGAAGGTAGTTGGTTGCGCTGGACTTCATTCAGGGAAATCAGTGTAGAAGGGAGGAGAACACAATTAGAAATGGAAGAAATATATTTCGTTGAGCCGCAGCTGTTACATTCAGGTGCTTGTGACGAAAGAAAAGGGCAAATATGTTCACCCATCTGTAAAAAGCTAAAAGGATATGTTAGAAGATTTAAAAAAGTATAGAAATCTGAACTAAAAACAAGAATCAGGAATTATAATAGCCTGTATAAGAAAGGAAAAAACCCAAACCACCAAAAAAAATAAGACCTATGATGAGATTATCAACTATTTGTACCTAGATTGAAGGGTTGTGTCTCTGTCTCTTAGGTTGATGAGCAGCGTGAAGAACAACGTTGGCAGAGGACTCAATATCGCTTTGGTGAACGGTGAGACTCATGTTAAACTTACAGTGGACTCTAGTCTGTTTATTTTTACCACTGGCCATAGTGAAGTTTTAACACTGGATTTTTGCTTTTAGGGGTGACAGGCGAGCTATTGGAGACAAAAACCTTTGATATGTGGGCAGGAGGTAATAAAACCATGCAGAAAATGGTGCCTTAGCTTTATTCCAGTACTGGTGGAAACATTAAACTCATCTGACGCTTCCTCTCAGATGTGTCCAGCTTACTGAAGTTTCTACGGCCCCTTCATGAGGGAACCCTCGTGTTTGTTGCTTCATTTGATGACGCTGCTACAAAGTAAGTATCGATGACTTTGGTAGCATAGCTCATTTTCATTTAGACGTCTCTTGTTTAAATAAATCAGTTTTTATGTAGAAAATGTAAGTTTTGAGTAGTTGATTAAACAGAATGAGAATCTCTTTTTATAAGCTTGTCATCTTTTTTTTTTGGCCTTACTTTGTTTAACTCCTCTTTTTGAGGTAACAATGTGAACCAAATTAAAACCAAAATTGTCTAACTATAACTGTTGGCTACAAAGCTGTCCCTTGTAAATAAGGTAGCTTGATTTCTCATCATTAAGACAGTGACCCGGCTAATTTACATACTTAGTATTTCTGGTGCAAATTAAGTGAAACTTTAATGCATTTGCTGAAAATCAGCATCAAATATTTTTCTGCATTAAAAAAAACAAATTACATTTTTTTCAGTACATAAGCATTAATTTAAAGGACACTTGTCATTAAATATGTACCTGCTTGCCTGTTTTTCCTGTCTTTGGCAGGATGAATGAAGAGTCCAGACGACTGTTTGAGGAGCTCGGCAGCACAGCTGTGAAGGAGCTGGCCTTTAGAGACAGCTGGGTGTTTGTTGGAGCCAAGGGCATAGAGAATAAGAGCCCCTTTGAGCAGGTATGAGCTGCACTGCTAGTATGATGCTCTGAATGTTGGTGAAAGCCTTCATTGCCATTCTTCTTTGCCTCATCTGTATCTTATAGTTGTCAGTAGTTTTAATCCATGGGAAGCAATGGAAGTTTTTTAATGCTGAAAGTTCAGTGGGCTGAATGTGGTTCTTTATCTACTGCTTAATAAAGTTTTGGGTTCTGACTGGTTTCACCTCATGCAGCATAATAAAGTATAGAGCACCTGATAAGTGGTCTGATTACTCTGATTGTCATGGTTATCATAATACTTTTGTGTCTTTTATTTGCATGTTTTCCTCATTTGTTTTGTCTTGATGGGATAATCATACAATCTTCATGACCTAAAGAAATACAGCTTGGTGCGTAAGTTTTAAATATTGTCACGTTTCTTTTACCACGCAGAGTCAAAGTTCTGTATATTTATATCATCTCTGACTATAAGTTAAGAAGCTGCAAAGAACCCATGTAGTTTTCCTAACCATCAATAAGCTTTCAGCTTTACATTTTTAGTACTTGACCACTCCTCTTATCTGAAACAACAGATTTGTTAAAGGTGGTTGTATTTGATTGTGGAGCCATCCTAAAAGTTTACAGTTTGTCTGTTATCCATTCCAAGCATAGTTTTGATGGCTGTTTAAGATTGTCGTTCCGTTGGATGACAAAACTTTATCCAGGGTTCCACCATCTGACCCAAAAAAGTCCCCCTTAAATGAAGCAAAGTTCTTTAGGAGGATCAGATAAGACCGTAGAACCGTGTAGGCCATAGTCTATCCTCCTCTGGAAGAGATTGGAGCTCTTGTGTATTTATCTGGTTTATCATCAGTTTATACTGAAGGTTAATGCTCTAGTTTCTTAGAGTTTACAACATGGAGTAGCCAAATTTAATTTTCTTCAAAACTTTACAGGAATAGTTTGAGGTATGTCTGAAGTAGTCATTTTGATGCGTCAGGCCTACTAACAACACACAATCTCATCTAATCTAAGCATGGAGGCGGTAGTATTATACTGAGGGTCTGTTTTAATGTACACAGTGAAAGGAATAATAAAGAAGAGGACTACGAGGGAGACAGTGATCACAAACACATTAGATTGTTTTCAAGGGGGTAAAGCAGGCTAATATTAAGCATTTGGATCAGCTTCTTACCTTCCTCAGCCCTTTTTAAAATTTATGGACTATGCTTAACAGCCTGCCTGGAAACCAACCAACCAACCTGAATCAGCTGAGCAGTTTCCGATAAGGACAGACCTCAAACATTGATCCAGAATAATACCAGGACTAAGATCATGTCCTCAACCAGCGTGTGTTTTTTTTCTGAAACCATAACCAAATATTACAAATGGAATTCTAATACGCCTTAAAAAGCCCCAAATTCTTAAGCTTTCAATTATTAGTCAAAGTAAAATTCTTTTGAAGCACAGCAAAAGAGTTTTAAGTGATTTGAATTATTGATGTTTAAGAAATGAAGTGTTCTGCAGTGAGATCTGCTCTGAAATGAACCTATGTCAATATCTTTGGCATTGAAAGATGAAAGTTTCATTTATTACTAGACAATAACAGAAAATCTGCAGTCGGCAGTGTGCTTAGTGTCAAAAATGGCTTTATTTGGCAATCATATTTTCAAAGAAAAGTTCTAAAGATGAAATTATTGAGTGGTTGATTTAAGTAACCTTTAGAAAAATAAGAAACTAAACTTGTTTTAAGACTGCTTCCTGGAAACCTCTGTCAGTTTAGGGCCTGAGATGCTGATCTTAGTCATGGTGACATCACTTCTGTTTGCCTGTTTCTCTTTCCATTAGCGGATGAAGAACAGTAAGAGCAGCAACAAGTATGAAGGCTGGCCCGAGTCCCTAGAGATGGATGGCTGTATTCCCCTGCGGCCACCCCTCGAAGGTTAATTCAGCTCTGACTAGTCTCTCAGACGTCACTGTGACGCCTGAAGTCCCAGCGGAGAAAAACGCAGTGACTGTTCAAAGGCGGAGGAGCTTCTAAATACCTGAAACTCTTAGAAGGATCCACAGGTACTATTTTGTTTTACCTGCTTTGGAAAAAAGACGTAACTGAATGTGCAGATTATTTTTGAGCTGGAATCAGGTTGTACAGGATTTCCGACTAAGCTTCCTTAGCGGTTTTTAAGCTGAAGGAATGTTCTAGAAAAAAAGATGTATGCCATGGTTAGCAAAAATACCATTATGTCATTTTTTTGATGGCCAAAGTGTAACTATGACTGATTGTGAAGCTTTATTGAAACTTTTTAAAGCCTTTAAAGATATTTAAAAACTGCCCCTAAAGAGTGAATTCTGGGTTTAATTAACAAAACTCAGCTGACACTTTAGGATGAAAAAAATATCAGGTTTCTAATCAACAGTAGAAACGACCTGGAGGTACACAATATTTACCATGGCTGCTGCAGATAGGTTTAATGTGCACATTATTAAATACAGTATCATAATATTATTCATATTCTACTAAAGCGATTTTACTTAGCACTAACTGCCATAATATCCATAGAACTTGATGCACCAGTTGTTGCCTACATGTTTACAGATTTCTTTGGCCTTAAAAGACATATAAACTTAATAAAAATATTTATTTTAGATATTTCTATACTGCAGAGAACAAGATTGAAATTCTGTTTGCCTTGAATGGTTTTGTAGTCTCAGGTCTGCAAATGTTTTCCCACTGAGTGCTTTAAAGCTTCCTTGGGTGGTTGTGCTTTTTTTTTTTTTTTGTTAGAAACTGTTTTCATTTGTCCTCTTGTAAACTAAGAAAGAGAGAAATGTGAATAATAAAAGATTTCAGCTGTTTTACAATAAGCACATTTCAAAACACTATCTGCATTCCGTTATGTTAGCTTTGTGTAAATATTTTTTTTCTTAAAAAACATTCAAGTTTGTGTTGCACTGTAATATCTATAATAAAGAATAAAACAAAATCCAAGCCTGTTTTCTTTGCACGTCACATAGAGTTAAGGTGCCACTAGGGGGCGACAGCTGTTCACATCTGATAGAGGTTATTCAGTTTATTCTGCAAGAGGGGATGAAGGCTATCAAGTGAATTTAGAACATTTCTGATCTGAAAATCAATACCTTCGAAAGGTCTTTAATCATTATTATAACAAACATTATCAGTTATAATAGTTTTTAATATGATGCATTCAGAATTTTTTTTTAAACTTTTATTTTGAAATTTCAAAACAGCTTGACCACAGAATTTGAAGAAGAGGTATGTGTCTGTTTTGAGGGTTATTCCTATGGTACCTTTATATATTTGTGTATTATTTTATACAGTTTCAATACAGTTAGATTTTATAATAATCTTTTTCTAAATTTCTAGATTCTACTATACAAATATAATTCTGTTGGAGTGTTTGCCTAGTAGTGGGTTAGAGCATCGTGTTTGTGCTCTGAGAAGGTTGTACACAGCCCTCTGCTCCCTAAGGGAATGGGTTAAGATGCAGACAGTGAATTTCCCCATTTTGAGATCAATGATGTTCACTTATTTATTTATTATTAATTAATTAAACCCAGAAATTGAATATAGACTAAACCCTTCAAATATATATATATATATATATATATATATATATATATATATAGCACTGTCTACCCGCTATATTTTATATAGTGGGTAGCACTGTTGCCTTACAGCAAGAAGGTTCTGGGTTCAAGTCTTTCTGCATGGAGTTTGCACATTCTCCCTCAGCATGTGTGGGTTCTCTCCGGGTACTCTGGCTTCCTCCCACAGTCCAAAAACACGACTGTTAGGTTAATTGGCTTCTCTAAATTCTCCTTAGGTGTGAGTGTGTGTGTGAATGGTTGTTTGTCTCTGTGTGTCTCTGTGTTGCCCTGCAATGGACAGGCGACCTGTCCAGGGTGGACCCCAACTCTCTCCCGTAGATAGTTGGAGATAGACACCAGCAACCCTCGCGACCCCACTTGGGATAAGCGTGACAGAAGATGAATATATATATATTTTTTTTTTGTTTTGTTTGTTTTTTTGTTTTCTTCTTCCTTTTTTTTTTTTAAGAGTTTCCACATATTGAAGGGGCCTACACAGAGTTCTACATAAATCTGATTCAGTTGAATTTCTACTGGCTCATTTCACAAATATGCCATCATAAGGAATTTTACTGTCAATTCAGTCAAATCATAATGTTTTATCCCCAACTGTTAGACATGTTTTAGTTTCTTTTGAATATTTAAAAACACAACAGCCTTACACCCTACTGATACATTGTTAATGGAGTGTAAGTTTTTTAAGACCTTTTTAAATGTTCCAATGAAATGAAAACATTTCTAACAGGTTGGGCTAATAAACAGGCCGCGCACTGCCCTCTAGTGGTGACAGCGGTTAACTGTCACTTTGTGAGAGCGTATGTTTTTGATGATGATGATGATCCCAGTGGCAGGGAGCGCTCTGTCAGTAGGCACGCGAACCTGCTCCTGCTGATCGGAAGGAGTCCTCCTGTCAACGATGGACACAAGTTACTGACATTTTACGGATTATCGCCTCCCGTTAACCTCACAGCCGACCAGCGAGCAGCCAGTTGGGGGTAAAATGAGTGAACCGACGTTGAGCTGATTACGGACAGCTGCTGCCTCGCTGTCACACACGGACACCGGAGCTGCTCCGGTGCTGGGGGGATTTTCCCTGCCTTTAAACACCGAGACCAGACCAACCAACAGGAATCCCCAGTTTTTTTGTTGTTGTTTTTTTGTGTGTTTTTTATTATTATTCTGAAAATAATTTTTTCCCCTATAGCTTTAAATAATGTTTCACACATAAGATGTGATGCATGTTTTCTCTTAGGTAATCCGGTCGTTAATATAAATCCAGTTTACAGTCATTACGGCGAAGCTGTCATTTTTAAATTAAATCACCGCAGAGCAGATGAGGTACGACGTTACATTTAGGTAAGTGATTTTTGTTCTTATTCAGCTACATGACTGTGCTATTATTCCTTACAACTGGGTTATTTTAAATCTATTATTTAATGGAGTTAAACTTGAAGCGTATTTATTCTTTTGTACAGCTAATTATATATATATAAATAATAATTGTAATATAAAGAGCACTGTGGCGTAGACCCAGCTGTAGGGCCCTCATAATAAAAGTGGAACTGGCTCCTCTACTGTAGGATTTGCAGCCTGGTCCCAACATCAGGGGACCAGGAGGGTTTCTGTCACCCTGTCACCTGCTCTTCCCCTCTATGGAGATTGTATTTTGCCTCTCCTGCACGGCGTTCCTCAGGTCAGCTGAGCTCCCTGTTAGCCAATAGCAGTGTTTCATGTTACCTTTACGTACAGACATCATTGCTTTGCAAGCTGCTCCCTATAAATAAACATACAAGCTGTTTGAGCTTGTGCCTGCAGCCTGAAAGCCGTAGAAATTGCTATTCTGTGGCTTTAACACACACTGATATATACACTGATATATATATACTGTATATATATATATATATATATATATATATATATATATATATATATATATATATATATATATAAATAACACACACTGATATATAGATATTAGGGGTGTAAATAATATTCGTTTTGTATCGATGCATCCAGGTTTTCATAGGCCTAGGTGGAGTACAACTTTGCTACTTCTGTTATTTGCTGTTTTCTCAAATAAAATGCACAACGATATTACAGCTTGCATTGATTTAGTTCAAATTTGAAACATTGTTTAGCCTGTAAGTTAAAAAAAAAAATTAACCTTTTATTAAAATCAAATCGTACCGTGGTGTATTCTTGAGTATCGAAAATAATCAAACCATTGGCCAATCTAATCCAATTTTAATTGTTACCGTAAGCATTTACAAAATCACAGCTGACAAAAGTGCTGTACAGAAAAATAAATACATCACAGAAGACAAACACAGCTTAAACATGAGTAAGAGATAGATAGATAGATAGATAGATAGATAGATAGATAGATAGATAGATAGATAGATAGATAGATAGATAGATAGATAGAGAGTAGAGTTATGTAAGCATGTGTGAATTAAGCAAACCTTTCTTCCCTAATTCTGCTACATTGCTGAACCTCTGGTATCTTCCTCATTTATAGCACTGTGATTATAAATAGGGCAGGGGGTTCAGTTTTAGATATAACTGTCCCACACTATTAGACCACTTAAGTAATATTTAATAGTTGTTAATCACTGGCTGATTACAAAGCTTTCCTTTCACCTAGATCTGTGTGGTTTCGCCAGCAGAGGGGAATCAAAGCGGACAAAATGTGAGGGGGTTAGATAACACACATCTTTCTCCCTCTCTCTGTTTTGCTCCATCCCAGTGAACAGTACTGCGTGTGTCCTACTACCTACACTCCAGTCTCACATGCTTGACCTGGATTGGACAAAAGTGCTTGTTGTTTTTTTGAGCCTTGGGTTTCCGTAATAGGACAAGAACAATCAATTGTGTGTTTGATTCCAGCGGCTGGTATTTGATATTTCTCGAAGGCAGAGAAGCGGCAACATGTGCTGAACTGCTTATTCAGGCATTTAGAAGAAACTTTCTTCCCAGCTGTCTTAAGTTTTTTGGGGTCATTTTCACTAAAAACAAAGGATGATTTTTTTTTTTTTTTATATTAGCAAAGGTCACCTAATTTGAAGGTCAAGATCAAATTCTGTGAAAAAGTTTTAAATGTAAGTTGTTTTTTTAATAAAGATTTAGTGGAAGGAAAAAGTTGTTTAATGCTTTTAAAAGCTTTTATTCAAGGGTGCTGTTCATGTATTATTCAATGTTGAGAGGATTTGCAGAGCTTAGATCCAGAATATTTCAACAGAACAGCCATTAGTTCTGCTCTCCCCAGTCAAACCCTGGATGGAGTCACATGATGGAGTGACAAAAAGAAAGCATCTGTCCAAGAAAACAACCTTATTATTATGGTTTCTTTTTGCAATTTTCTGCAAGCCATGTAGGGGGCACTGGAAAGGAGTTAAAACACTGAACATGGTGTTTGTTTTTTAAATCCCCCTGAATGAAACCTTCCCCTCATGAAGCATGTTGGTGGCAGCAGCTTCGTATTGGATGCTTTTCTTCAAAACAGACAGAAAAACACACCCATTGTTAACACATCAGTGGCAGTATAATACTGTGGGGATCTGGGCCAAGAAAGTCCGTTAGTTAAAAGAGGGCTGGGTTTGAAAACAGACAGGACAGTGGATAACCTTCCAGCAGCACAACCACCCTCAACAGGAATGGCAATAAAAGTGTTTAGGGTAAAATATGTTGATGTCTAAGTCATGTACTACTGTGTCTGAAATACATTAAGTTTATGGTTTTCCTATTATAGTATAGAATGGAAAAGTTTAAAGGGTATGAATACTTTTTCTAGCACTGGTAAATATTCTCAGTTACCGTTTATGACAGAGGTCTTCAACAGGGAGTCTGCGCCCCTAGAGGGTCCACAGCAGTACTGCATGGGGGTCACAAAAATTTTGGTTGATTAGACTTTTTTTTTATATTCCCCCCCATTTTTCCACTAATTGAAATGTCTTTAAATCCACATTAACATGAATTCAACACACTGTAGTAAACAGATAAATGGAGGCAGAAAATCAGTCATCAATGCACACATTCAGCGACACACAGGAGCTCTTTCAAGCTGGGCACCGTTTCATTCACAACACCTGTCCCATCAAACGTTGAAGATCCCTGGTTTATGAGTTATCATTGGTTGGGCTACAGTGAGATTAGCATGAGAAGCTACTGAGCTCTGTAAAGGCAAGCCTGCAGAAATGTGACAGTATGAGTCATGTCTGATAAACCTCACCCAGGAACCATGCTTTTTTGTATTTATCCAAGTGTAGAATCAGCAGCTGAGCTGCAGGGACATTAAAATCATCAGGGAAGTCGCTGCTTGATTCAGAGCCCATTTGAATTTTGGCCAGCAGCTTTCAGACCTTGTGCTTCCTCTGTCTTCCCACATTACTCAGCCTCCATCTCCGCTGTAAATCTCTGTGGGACTGATTCCGAATTAGAAGAAGACAGAGATAGGTAGGAACATTGAATTAAGCACGCATGAAAAGGTCTGGGTTGCAAACAGGTATGAATCTGGCTTTGATTTGACCCCAGCCGAAAGGAAGGGTTGTTCTTCATCTCACTCCTTTATCTACACTCAATTAGATGGCTCTGTTGTTTCTCACTTTGCAGACAAGGGGACATGTTAAATGTAGCTGACTCTCTGGTGCAGTTTCACCAAGCTTGCTCTGTCTGCTAATGAGCTACAGAGGTATATGCAAAACACTGCAGCGGAGAGTTGGTTTCAGACTGTATCACAGCATATAATCACTGCACATTCTAGAAACTCATTCTAGCAAATCTTTTCATTTTATAGACTATTGTTTCACCGTTTACTAGTATATGTTTATATATAATTTGTACAATATATTTACAGAGAGAAGTTAGTTTCCTAATTTTTTATTCTTATATGTGAAGAATTAAGGAGGGGCATGTTATAATAATAAAGAATTATAGAAGTTAGTTCCAAACTTTACTGCTGTTGTTTATAGTTTTTTTTTAAGGTAATTATATAAAACTTCTACAAAGGTAAAAGGTGATGGTAACATGTTGAATAGTTTTCTGTTAAAGTGAACAAGATAATAAATGGGCAACGCAACAGGCCGATATCTTCCCTCGTTTTTTTAATGCATGTAAAATGTGAAAACTGTCAAATTAAGAAACTGATAAGAAGATGTGAATTTCTTTCAGCCATTATTGTGTGATCTTAGCCTTTATTAACTGTAAACTGTAGTTTTACCGGTATTCCATGCAAAGGTTTGGACGCCACCCCACCCCCACACCCCCACGTGTCACAGGACCTACAATCGTAAAGCATCCCTATGCTAATGTAATCTGCTTGTTTTTTTTTTTTTCAACTTTTCCATCCTCAGATGTAGCTGCCGTCACTAAAAGAGAAATTTAGCCAGTTGTTCACACAAACATTGGCACATATTTTATCAGACAACACCAGCCCCCCCCAGCCATCTTTTTGTCTGTGCTTCCCCCTCCTCTTTGTCCCTTTCTCATTCTCTTTCTCTCCCACATTTATCCAACCCCATCAGCTACACCCCCCAAACCCCCCCGCCCTCCCTCTCTCCATCTCTCTTTCCCTCTCTTTCTCTGTGTTTGAAAAACTACTGTCCCTTCCTGCCCCCCTCCCCTCCCCAACACAAACACAAAGTCCTCCAGCTCTCTTTCTATCGTCCTTCATAATTTTTCAACCGCTTTCCGGTAAGCTGCAGTTGCTATGACAGAAAAGCATGGCCACAGTGTTTTATTCAGTTTGAATTGGTCACAACAGAGTTTATTCTGAGTTTATCGTGTTTTGTGAATGATTTTAATCTATGCTGACCTTATATTTGTTTCTAAGGAGGCAGATCGGTTTTGATTGTTAGATCTCTAATCTTTTTTGAGTTTTTTTTTCTTTAGGTTTTCCTTTTTCAGTCTAATGCTTGTGCCTGGTTATGAGTTTAAAAAGTTTATCTTTGTGGATACTAAGTCCATAAAAATGTACGCTTTTATTCTGTTAGAGCCTCTTTTGTTTGGGGGTTAGAGATTCCAGAAAATCTCTCAGCCCTCTGATTTGTTTTTAGAGTTATAAAGATGATCATGTCTTTGGCACTCAGTAGGCAAACATGTCACAGTGATTTTAGCGGCACATTTCAGGGTTTAATTAGGCATCTGCAGGTGTTCTCAGAGACTCTTAGAAGACTCAAGGGCAGACTCAGAGCAAAAGTTCATCAGAGCACAGACAGAGATGTGGAGAGTAAATGATTCTGACATGTCAGCCAGACTTACGCTGCATGCTGCAGTCATTTTGCTGCCTGTGCGAGATGTCAAAGATTTAAGCTGCGGCGTTGGTTTTATCTTTATCTTTAGTGTAACACATTTGCCTACAGTTGCAGTTGCTTGGTCATTTGACTGGTGTCAGGAAATTCCTTTCGGCATTCTTTCATTGAAAGCGGGACGAGTGGGTTGGGTACGGGTGACAGTTTGCATGCGGATGTGTGTGTTTTTCCTCTGTGAATAAAAGAGGGCGAGTGTAAAACAACAAAGTTCGTCCTGACAAGCTGGTGTGTGTTTAGTGTTTGCGTCGGTGTGTAGGGGTGTGTGTTTGGGAGGGAAGGGAGACTGTGAGGGTGTGAGAGACAGTGATGCAGTTGAACGTGTTTGATGTGCTGTAATAACTCTTTTCGGTATGTGGCTTTCATGGGAACTCCTTACCCTGGGGACATGAGCAAATAAGCTTTTGTTTAAATGGTAGCTTCCTTTTTCTTTATTGCACTTTTTTGTCCTTAACCCACTGTTAAGCTTAACTCTAGAGACTAACTGTCTTGTACAGTATATCCGCTATAGGTTGCTAGAACTTCTCTAATTAAATGTCTTTTTAATCACCTCCATTTTCCAGTTTAATTCATTCCTTCCCAAGTTCAAAGCGCTGTTTTGTACTTATGGACTGCTCTTCTATCTCTACAAGCTTTCATTCTGTAACGTAACAAAAAACATTTCATACCCAAATAGACGAAATATAGATTTCAGAAGTGGGGGGGTGTCAAGTATTTTTTTAATATAACTAACTTTAGCATGTTTGATCATCCAATCACAGACCTGATTCAGTGTTTATAAAGTGAGCTTCTCAGTAATGACAGCGGTGACAGCCAATCACACAAGAAAAGACGGTGGGCCAATCAGGAGCTTGTGGGAGGGTCTAAACTCAGAGAAACGGACTTGAGCTGGAACTGCGGTTTGACAAATATCTCTGTACTGTTGCGTAAAATTGCTTTTGGACAGTAAAATGTGCAGGGGAACAAAACCAATGTTTGAAAAAAGTGAAGGGGACAGGTCCCCCCGTTCCCCCCCAAATTTACGTTCATGCATACCTATGTACATGAACCACAGTAGATGTGTTTGAAAGAGGTGAACAATCCATAACATCACTGGGGTCTTTCAAGTTAACTGGATAATATCTAAAAACATCATCATCCCCCTTTTTTTTTTCTCCTGATCAAATTTAGTTTTTTCTATTTCATAAATCCACCTTTTTCTATTTTTAAATCCACCTGAATTACATCCATTGGTTCGGAAATATTTATATTGTGAGAAAATTGAATCTTTTCTTCATGCTGTCCACCAATATGCACTAATAATGTCATAAATATAGTTGTTGCACTGTGCTATTGGGTTGAGTCAGAGACTAGCCTTTGTCCTCCATAACATGTGTCCTTGGAATGCTGCTCAGCTGGAATGCCTTCTATTTTCTTCAAAGTCTCTTAGCAATCAGTCTAGCAACACTATACCCTGGTTATAATTTGACTGGCAGCTACTGGCATTGCTTTTCAGACATACCCAATTTAAAGTTGGGTGCAGAATAGACTTGCAAGTTTTATGGGTAGTGTTTTAAAAGGGCAAAGAAAGCAGGGTTTCTTGCAGAGAAGATGGACTGCGGTGTGACCTCACTGTGACATCGATGGTCTCCATGGTTTACTCACTAGCTGCAGATATTTTTGATGTGATGTTCTAGAAGATTGGGAAGAGAAGGAAGGACTAAAAGGTTTCAAGTAAATATTGGGTTTGATATTAAACTGATTTAAAATGCATTTCTGCTCTTATATTAGCCCTACCTTTTTTTTTTCCTCCACTTACTGCTCCATTTTACTCCCTGTCTAACCACATTCCTCTGTGCAGGGACTGTTGTCTCTACCTTTGTTTGCTTTTTTTTTTATTTTTAGAATGGAGGCTTTTAATGGATTTGGAAGCGATGGTCTAAGCCCCCCTGGAAACGGTCTCTAGAGAAATTTCCGACATGCTATCCTATAAAACAGTGACTGCAAAAGTGGTTGGCACACCATTTTCTGATTTGTCATACATGTTGCCATGTTGAAATTTTTTTTTTTTACTTTGCTGTTTTTCTTGGATTCGATTTTTCTAAAAAATATATATTTCTTATATACATTTTTTTTATTTTTGACAGACCTTATTTAGTTTTTTTCAAAATAGTCGTACAGATTTTAGATTTTCAAATCTTTTTTTAATTTCTCTTTTTCGATTGAGATTTATTGCATTCTTTCAAATTGTGTTTAACACATCACATCTCTTCACCTCAATCCTAGTATAGATGCTCAGTATTGACGAAAACATTGACCAGTAAAAATGTTGTTGCCAACATCCACGCCAACCAATAGAAATGCATCTTTGCTCTTCACCCCAATTGAAACCCCCCCAGAAGGGAAGAGAGTATGATCCTGTAAAATGCACTTTGAAAAGAATTCACTCCTTAAATCTCTAAATAAAAAAAAAAAAAACATTGAAAAAACAAAATATGAAAAAAAAATTTGAAAAAAAGAGTAAATACTAAAATATATAAATATAATTTGAGAAAAAAGCAAATATACTCTCAAAACCTTCATTTTGTTATGAAGTTTTTCAGAGTTTCATTTCTGAATTTCTTTTTCTTTTTTTTTACCTTTCCATTTGCAAAATATGTTTTTTGGTTGCAACAACAATGAAACAAAATTAACTGTAAGAGAGTAAATCTCCAACAGCTTAGACAGAAAGCCTAATGTCTGCACAAGATTAGGGAATCATTGGGTAATTTTTGCAATATTGAGAGGCGTTTGCATCAACTCTGTAGCCATGGTGAACTTTTGTGGCATATTTTGTGTCATAACTTTAGAGATCATAACCTTGAGGAAAATATTGTTATATTGTTTTTACAAATATATTTTTAACAATTTATATACTGTAATGTTTTTGTTGTCTGAAACTATTAATACTACCACTCCCAAAATACTGTTAACACAGATGTCTACTGTTATAATATTGGTATAACAATACCATCTGATATTGTGGTTTTATTACATAAATTTGACACCAAAGTAAAATTATTAGCAGTTTTGAAGTACTGTACTGTAGATTTTTAAACTGATTTTTAATCTTCTGCATTTTTTTAGGATAATAAGTACACCAGCCTGCAATTGACTGGTTAATTAGTCAAGCTGTCTGCTCAGTCAGCTGCTTTTTAGACATGCTGTTCTTACTTGCAGCTTTAAAACACTAGCCTGAATCAGAAAACCACAGGATCCATTCTGACATCAAGAGAAATGGTCAATCAGAACATTTTTCAGGATTTGAAATTGGAATTTTATCATTAGCAACTTGTTGGCTAAATACAAAATGATTATTTTCCCCCCTCTGTTGTCTGTGTATATAATCATAATTACAAGTAGTTGTTTCTTCATCAGATCTCCACTGCAGATGTATTCTAGTCATTCCCGTACAGTTCAACAGTCACTCTTTGTATGAATTATTCACAGTTGACTGGCCCCTAGATCGTCATCCATTTTTAATGAACACGATTGCAGTCCACTGACTGCTGCTCTCTGCTGACTAATGCAGCTGTTGAACACAATTTAAGTCACAAAATGATGATAAACATGTGCTGGATGATTGGTTAGGTGAGCTCATTAAAAATGCACAGAGATGAAGCCTTATGTTGTAATTACCGCTGAGTCACTGTACATGCTCCTCAGATTACTTGCGGAAAGATGTTCAGAATATACTCCTGTCATTCAAACAGTGGGCAGTGGTGTCAAAAGTACACACATTTGTTGCTTAAGTAGAAGTATAGATACTGCAGATTAATAACACTGGTAAAAGTAGAAGTATCAACTTGACCACTTTATTCAAGTTAAAATTCGAAAAAGTATGTGCTCCAAAAAACTACTTAAAGTATGAAAGTATAAAGTAACCTTAAAAAAAAAAAAAAAAACAGCCAGATGCCACTATATGAATTTAAAGCTCAATTTTTCGAAAAATTATTTGAGATAGGGCCAAGGATGAAGGAGGTCTTGCTGGTATCCGTCTCCATCTCCAGATACGCTCTCGCCTGTGTTCGACCTTTCAGACATTTCGACATCTTTTTGTGAATCCAACATTGTAGCATGGCATAGACAATTCACGTTTGCAGTTTGAAGAACACCTGCTTGATTCTGATGATTTCCTTTAGCTAACCAATGAGTGTTTTATGACTCATCCAATTACACTAGTATTCACTAGATGTGGATGGAGCCAATCATCTGCATTGGATGGCTCACATTATGTAAATAAATACTCATAAACATTAAACCGAAGCCAAGAGTAACAAGTAACGTTTGTTTTAAAAATGTAAGGAATAGAAAGTGCAGATACTTGTATGAAAATTAATGAGTAGAAGTCAGAAGTAGGAAGATAAAGTAGTATAGACATCTTAAAAAGTGTACTTAAGTACAGTAACAACTAATTTGTACTTTGTTACTTGACACCTCTGATATTGGGGAGTGTTGCTTTGGAATTTATGTCATACTTTTATGTTTCAGCGACTCATATATTGTAAAGGTTTTACATCCACATTATCCCTGAATATTGATCTGTTTTTTGTTTTTGTCTTACAGATTCACTCATCTTCAGATGAAAATTTTAAAAGCTAAAAAAGCTCTTCAGGTTTGGCCGGAGGTGTGAAAAAAAACCTCGAACAGTGTGGGCTGCTACTAGTTCTGCTGATCAAGCAGATTCTATAGGTAAACAATAAGGACTTTGAAAAGAAAAGGTATTCTCTGCACCTATGCTGTCATCCATATACATATAGCAGCATACTAAAGGAGGAAGAGTTGTCAAGAAGTTTTCATTCTTAAACTAACTCTAACTTGAATCACAAATAAAGCACCTTTTAGACCAAAAGGGGTGACGTTGACCACAGAAAGAGAGAGAGACGGGGACTGACAGAAGAGCAAGGGTTTGGAGGAGGAGGAGGCGACGAAGGAGGAGGTCTCAAAGGTTTGGTAAAGGCCATTCTCCATGGCTACAGACCCAGGAGAGCCCACAGGCACTGAGGACTCTTCTGAGAAAGCAGATGGAAAAAATGAGGAGGAAAATAAGCGGGAGGTCAGAACAGACAAACAGAGGGAGAGGACACCTAACTCCTCTCTGGACTTCCCCTCCACCCAGACTCAAATGGACACACAGAAAGGGGGTGACGATAGAGGTGGAGGAAATAAAGAAGATGCCTTCCAGAAGTTTGAAGAGACCCCAGTGCTAGCCTCAATGCCTTCATTCCCCGTTGATACTGGTCAAAAACGGATGAAACGGGAAAAGCGCTTCTTTCGAAAGAGTGTAGAGATCTGTGAGGCAGATGATGATGAAGTCATACCTCCCGACGCTCCCCACAGTGCCCCCCACCTGGAGCTTCACTCCACAGATTCAGTTTTTGACAGCGTCCATCAACAAGGAGCTGCCTCTTCCTGTTTACCCTTGGGACATGATCCCGCTCAGGGCCACGAGCCTGGAAAAGATGTTCCTTCATCTGCACCAACTCTGAGTGTGAGAGAGAGGGACCGTGAGCAGGAGGAGGAGGCAGAAATGAAGGCGGTAGCCACTTCTCCTGGTGGAAGGTTTTTGAAGTTTGACATTGAACTGGGAAGAGGAGCATTTAAGACTGTGTACAAAGGCCTGGACACAGAGACCTGGGTGGAAGTGGCTTGGTGTGAACTGCAGGTAAGGCAAAGCATTTTCTTATAAACACTGAATGTTCCACTATACTGCATGTTCTCTCCATCCACGCATGGAATGTATGTATGTTTTTAATTGAGCCCCGCTCCAAAGCTTGGGTAATTTGTTTTATAATGTTAGTTTGCTTTAGAGTTATCTTCAGGAAAATACCTGTTATTGTTTTTTTTTTTTTTATAAAATGTTAGTTCAATGATGTTTCACAACCAACTTTTGAGACCTTCATGGAATATGGATCTTTATCAGTAGTGTAGTGGTCCCTGAAGAGGTGGCTATACAGTACTCACCCTCTTTTTTAAATGCAGCCCAGAAACAATACATGTTAGACCACTCTATGTAGTTTACCAAGAAAATTCCTTTGTAGTTTTTACTTAATGTCATATAATTTATGTTATTTGATGTCAGGGAGGAAGGATTGTAAAATAACTTAACGCCCCTCTCTGCCTCTGATTGGCTCACTGGTCGTCATGCCTTCAGTTAACCAGTGTAATCAGTAAAGCCAGTGTACTAGCCAATATGAAGCAGAGTAGTGCAGGCGATGGCTTCACCGGCCTAGGAAAAAATGGGAAATTTGGCTGGGAGATTCTGCTTAATAGTGTGGATCGTTCGGGATTTAGCTGTGGGTATACGCAATGCCGATTAAAAAATAAGTCTGTATACGCCATATAGGACTACACCACTGATCTTTCTTTATACTGAGATGCACATGGATTCTACTTCTAACCGTTTGACTTTTAAAAGCAGGATTTTATTTACTTTTCAGGGTTTTTATTTGTAATAAAGTGTGAGAAAATTTTGAAATTTTCTTCAACATCAAAAATATAAACTACTGTGTGTTTGATCCATTGTTTAAAATCCAAGTTTAATAACATGATAATACATCTGCAAGCCACTGATTGTCTAATAGGAGCTGAATGGAACCCTTTGTCCTTCACAAACTTTGGAGTGGGAAGGAAATAATGAAATGCAGCTTGAGTGGACTACTCTAGATTTAATATTCTATGTCCAACAATATTTTGTTATCCATATAGTTATTGCAAAGCATTGGTATATGGTATGAATTAAACATTCGGTGGGTGGTGTGGACTTTTCTTATCCTCACAATAGAAAGCAGTGTTATGGTGAGCTGTTTCACTTGACTGTTTGCTTTGTGAGCAACACCAGCCACGTGTTTGTTCGGGAGGTAATTCCAAAACAAGATCCTTGGCTAATCTTTAAGATCAGACTACGTCTTTGGACTAACAAGCAGCAGGCATGCCACTGCGTGACCTTTACTGGTATTACTCCAATACCTACTGATAAGCTTCAGGACAGAAGCAAGCCTTTGCTCCTACAACAAGTCTCTTGGAAATGTTTTTTTTAACAGTCACATTCAATAAATCAGTATATTTGTTTCAGTAACTCAGCTTGCTCTGTAAAACACATTATACAGAAGAATCACACACAGACCAATGTTATTTTGTCTGTGTAAAGATTTTACACTTAGTACTAATGAGAGACAGTATTTGAGATTAGATATTGCATAAGACAAATAACAAATATGCCTCAATTGACAATGCATTGCATTTTATTGAATATAACTATCTACTTTTAATTAATCTGTTAAATGAAAAACAAGATATTTCACTCATCTCAGCTAAATTCATTTGGGTTTTAATTTATAAACACAGTTTAGTATGAGATGGCATCTTGTATCCATTGTTTTCTTATAGGATGCACAAAAAGACCAATCCAATGATCTATCCATCCATTCTTTCATCCATCCATGCACCCATCCATCCATCCATCCATTCATGGATGGCCTATACTTATCCTTGCAGCATTGTAGGGGGCCATTGGCCCCTTTCCAGAGGTGGAATACACCTTGGATAGGTCAAGACATAACCAGGAGTATTTTTAACAGTCAAAGCATAACTAGATTTTAACTTACTGGGCAAAAAGCTTGAAGAGAAGTAAAAAGTGATAATAGAGTATGGAACACACAGAAACTAGAGGAGATGGTGAAAGTAAGACGGGGAGTTGATGAGCCAAACAGGGGATTACCATGGCATCCCTCCCAGAGAGCAGTACTACAGCTAGGGCTAAGTTCCCACATTCAGAGAGACACTGGATACACCGACATATATGCTCTTACACACATGTTGCACAGTCATACACACCTATAGATGGATCCAGTTTCCATTCACTACAACCTTCTAGTCTCCCAGAACACATGACCTATCCTCTACCTGGCAAAAGCCAGTAAACAGCTTTAATGTGCAGTGGCATTAAGTGGATAAATACAACTCTGAAGATGCACCATCAAAGATTTCAGCTGACCTGATAAAACTGGGGCTGCTGTATCTGTTAATTTAAACATTCCTATTTAATATCTGAAAATACATAATGTGCATTTTTATGTCTTAACACTATGAAGTTTCTGTGTAAAAGTTATAAATTAAACGCACCTCTGACCATTCATTTAGGTAAGCTAGGGTATGAGCTGTTCAAAGGCAGCCTAAAAAATCATTACCACTATATCACTTTTCCTAGAAAGGTTTTGTATCTGCAACTTCCTGTTTACTGGATGTGTTTGTGTGCTGTTTGCACACGTATGTAACTTTCTGGTTGAGAGCTTTTGTTATGCAACATACAGTGCAACACTGAACTAGTTTGCCTATCAGTGTCCCTCTCTCGTTCTCTGCCCCCCTCCCATTCCCCTGTCTCCCCTTCACTTTTTGTCTGTTTGGGTGAGCATGCAGAGGAATCCATGGAGTTGATTAGAGTGGGTGCCTGTCAGGCTGGAACAAAAACCCTGCACAGACAGCATAACTCGGGCGGCAGAAACCAGACTGGTTCAACCCAGACTGGTCCAGCTAAGCTTTGCCCTACCACTCTCAAAGGACTGGTACAACAATCAGGACGGAAGCTTAACGATTGCCAACTTAGATATTTGGCAAATTTGTTATGTTGGCAGTGCCTTACAAAAGTATACAAATCCCCTGAAGCTTATTTTAGATTTTGAGACATTTCAACCACAACCTACCAACACAATTGGTGGATAACTTTTGGACTGAAAGTGATGTGATTTAAAAATATATCTCTAAACTTTGACTTGCATTTGCATTAAGTCCCCTGAAACAGTACTCTAGATTATCGTATTTCATCAGTGAAACAGCTGCAAGCAGCAGCGGGTTTTGATGTGGGTGATATCAAAAAAGGATCCAGGAAGGCATATTAAAGGAGATTGCACAAGCAGCAGATAAGCTGATACAACTAATAGCAAAACACATGGGGCAAAATATAACTTGTGACTTGTCTATTGCCTTTATGGTTAAAAAGTCAGTGATTAGGTGCTGCATCTATGGGCTCAGTTCTCAGATCAGACCACGTCATCTCTTTACAGTCAGCCTCCGTAATCATGAAATTTCAGACATTCATTAAAATACTAGCTTCCCTACCGTGCCATAGATTTCCAGTGATGATTCTGCTTTGCAGTGTAATGAACCTTGGCATCTGTTGTTGTTTCCTGCGTATGTAAGTCCTGATTAGACTATCATTTGTCGTATCCATTTCCCAAAAGCCGACTGTCAAGTAAATTCAACAGAGGCTGCCTTCTTCACCTTAATCTCTGCAAACAACTAAATATCACAATTATAACCAAACTTCCTGAATGTTCCAGGAGCCCCCATGTCAATTTGCTTGTTTACCTTTAGAGAGCAGTAATACCGTAGATCGTCACTAGGAGGCATGCTAGCGTGGTGTGTAAACAGTTGTAAGCAACCGAGGTCGGCATGGTTAACTGATCGAGCTCGGTCCGAACTCGGCATGGATCTGTTTTTAGAGTGTTGTGTAAATGGGGCTTATGGGCGAGAGGCGGGGTACACCCTGGACAGGTTGCCAATCTGTGGAAGGTCTCAATTCACTCAAATTCAGTTTATTTATATAGCACCAATTCACACATCATCTCAAGGCACTTTACAGAGACAATACAGTCATATTAATTAAAAAATTTCTGTCAAGGAAAACTAGCTGATTGAATCTTGTCATTGACTTGCAAGACATGCTCCTCCTGGATGAGCTTGCGGCAACGATTTTAGCTTGCATCTTGTCTTGGACTCTTCAGCAATCCCTCACACCGAGCATGCATGTAGCAACAGTGGACAGGATAAACTCCATTTTAACAGGAAGAACGCTCCAATAGAACCAGGCTCAGTGTGAGCAGCCATCTGCAGAGGCTGACTGGGGTTCAAGGAGACAGAAGCATGCTTTAAAAAAGATTCAGAGATACAAAAGGTAACTGTTAAAGGAAAAGTCTGGTCACATTCAGAATACAAACTTCTGGAAGTACTTTAAGTATTAAATTATTACAAACTGTTCAATAAATAAGTGTTTTTAATTAAGAGTGTCTGCGGCAGGAGCAGAGGCACATTTGGATTCATTGTGACACACAGGCAGACGACCTGTGTTTTTTCTCGGGCCAGAAGTTCGATGGCAAATCCTCCTTCTTCAAGTTGGTATTCCAACGAAGAACCTGTGGTGGATCATGAACTGGAAAGGTGAAATAACAATTTATTTTTTCACTTTTATCCTATGTATAATAACATCCAACTGCCATGCACGTGTGGCACTGACAGTTTATTTATAGCTCTTCCAAATTTCAATGGTGAAGTCCTCTTGAAATTGTTGTTGATTGCAGAGGTGTCTATTAGTTCCCATTGAATTTGCTTGTAAAGCTGGGAGAATGGCACTAGGCTTACCACACCGTGACATCACTGCCGGAAGATGTCAGGAGTGAGGTACTACTATATTTGGGCAAATATGTCTCTTCCTGGACTCAGTGATCGCAACGAAAAATATTGTTTTTATTTCTTTTACTGATTAATGTTAAATTCATGGCGAATGTATTAGTTTTAGGTATAAATAATAACCCATTGGTTATTCCTTGCTGACCAGACTTTTCCTTTAACTAGCTCCATGGTTGGTAATTCCTTCTTAGCTTCTCCGTT